CTGGAACTGCCCAACGATGCCAAGGGGCACTCAGTCCGCAATGGCAAATGGTGCACGCTGTGATGTAACGCTGCTGAACACAGAAACTGGTCCCAGTTTGCAGCAGAACTCATCATCCAGAACGATAACGCTCACAGTCATCATCGCTCCAAAGGGCGCAATAACACCACCAGTGTGCTGAACCTCTCCCCACCCAACTGTGGGGCTGAAAGCACGGCATGTGGGAGTCCCCTCCTGGGAGCTGTCCTGCAATGCAGTATCATTAAAAGACTTCGGTGCTCAGCAGTCCTATTCTACCTCCTGCATGAGGCCAAATTTTGTGGTGAGTATTTTGAGAGATGGAAGTGGATCCAGGAGATGTTTGCAAGGGATGCAAGGTAATTTGAAAAGAAAGGCAAGGGAGCCCAGCCCCGACCTTGGTAGCAGCAGGCTGGTTTACAGGGCATTAGGGGAGAGAATTAGGTTTTTATGATCAGGGAGACCAACAGGGTCTTTGCAAAGACCCTCCAGGGAAAAAGCCTCAGGGCTGCAATGTGTGAAGAAGGGACAGCTGGAGACTGTGCTCAGAGGAGCTGTGACTGGAGGCTCCCAAGAGAGGGAAGTCCGGAGGCTTGTGACTGCTGGCAACAGAGCAAAGGCTCCTTCCCAGCAATTACAGAGCCGGCAGCGCCCTGGGAACAGGATGTTCAGGAAAGCCTGGTGAGGTGGCATGTGCTGTGGGCGAAGGAACAGCCCAGGTGCATGGGGATTTGCCTTGGAACGGGTGAGTGATGGGCCAGCTGAGAGCTTATGGGTGAGGATGAAGAGACAGAGTGACACGGGCGACATCACGGCAGGTGTCTGCTGCAGAGCACCCGATGCGAAGTCTCCCCTGGATGGCTGGAGAAAGCCTCCCGATCACAGGCCCTTGCACTCCTGGGGGACTTCAACCACCCTGGTAGCTGGCTGGAGGGCAGCAGGGCTGGGGGCAAGCAACCCAGGGGATTTCTGGAGAGCGTCAAGAGCAACTTCTTGACAGAGCTGACTGACGTGCTGACCAGGGGAGATGTTCTTCTGGACTGTTTCTGATGACCAAGGAAGAAGAGTCAAAGACGTGAAGATGGAGAGAAGTCTTGGCTTCAGTGACCATGAGATTGTGAAGCTGAGTATTCTGAGACAAGCGACCAAGCTGAAGAGCACGATCAATTCCCTGAACTTATGAGAACAGATTCTGGGCTGTTCAGGGATCTGCTTCGCAAAATCCCATGGGAGCCTGCTCCAGAGGCCAAGGAGGCCAGGGCATCTGGGTCACCTTCAAGGACATCCGCCTTGAAGCACAAGAACGGCCCGTTCTGAGGACAGTTGGGCAGGCATGGCAGGAGGCCAGCGTGGCTGAACAACAAGCTCCCAGCCGAGCTTTTTCCTACAGGAAAAGGTAGAACCTGGAAGTCGGAAAGCAGAGCTGAGCCACCCAGGAGAAATACACAGCCATCCCTTCAGTGCACAGTGACGGAGCTGAAAGAGCACCTGGAGGTGCATCAGCAGCAAAAGGAGGGCCAAGGACAGCGTAAGCATGGGTCAGCGGGAGAGGGGACCAAGAGACCCAGTGACAAAGCACATGGAAAAGGCCGAGGTTCTCAGTGCTGCTTTTTTTTTTTTTCTTCTTGGTTTTCACTGGTCCGGTCTGTCTTCTGGCCTCCCAGGTACCTGAGCCTAGCGGCAGAGCCTGTGGGAACGAAGCGCTACCTGCGTTATCCTTCGTTATCCTTCCTCTGCAGAGCTCCTTTCCTGCCCACCCTCTCTGAAAAAGGCACAAACCCATGCTGGGAGGGGGGTCCCTTCGTCCTTCTGTGGGCTGCAGCGTGTATGTCGGACTTGATTTCCCTAGGTGATGTTGGAAACTTCACCAAGGCCAAGCAGAGATTTGCACACAAACCCAGGGCAGTCGAGTCTGCACTGGAAGTGAGGCTGCCCAGCTCCCGTTGCCTTTCAATGGTAATTGTGTGCTTGACTCCCCTGGGGACTAAAACGCTCCCCCCCCCTATCTGGGGCCAACACCACTGCGAGGCCCTGCACTGCTCAGCCGTAGTATTTTCACGTGAGCTCTGGTTCAGTCTGGTCCCCTACAAACAGGGATGCTCAGGCCTGCCGGTCCCCAAGAGACAGCCTACAGTTGTCTACAGGGCACAGGTGGGACCTAGACCCAAGCCTAGCTGGATCTTCCCCACTTGTCACCGTTCATGGCAGGGAAGCCTTTGTGCTAGGCACTGCAGATCTGGTCCCCACCTGGTATAAACTGAGTCCTTCCCACTTCTGATGGATGCACTCCTCCTGTTTGAACTAACTGGACTTTGTGTTACAGAAAATGGAGATGGAAGGGAGCTGAAATAGTCACCTTGTTCATCCACTCTTAATGGAGACCAGCTCTTCTTCAATCATTGCCCGCAGATGTCCATACGCTCTATTTTCTTATCCCACCAATAGCAGAAAAGTCCACATTTTTTTTGTTGACAGGCTGTGTGCTGCTTTATCATCATTAGCATCAGCAAGTTTCCCCTCTAATTTCTACCATCTGTTTCCCTCTATGTCAGTCAAAACTGGCCTTCCTTATCTTAATTGACACAGAGATGGAAGCCAGCTTTTGCCTTTCTTCTTTGTAGCATCTGTTATGATGCCTCCCCTTAATCATCTCTCCTTAGATTTAGCAGGAGTCACGGACTTCAGCTATGAGGCCCCAGAAACTGAAACAGGTGGAACACCCTGTTCAGATTCCTCATCCGTCATGGCTAAGGTGGGGCAGAATAGGAGAGTACAGACAAGCTGGAAAGGGTTTTGAGTTAGTGGAGCTTTTTGGCCATAGGAAAAGTGCCGTGCGTCTGTGCTGTGGTGCAGCCACCCCAGCGACGGGGGGTGGGGTGGTGAAGAAGAAGAAAGGGATGCTGAACTTCATCCTCCCATCTGCTGCCACCAGTGCTGGGGCTCGGAGGCTGCCCTGATGTGCCCCAAGCCCCCGCGGTGGAGCCATGCCAGCCGGCCCAGCTTCCCAGGGCTGCAGTCCTAGGGAAGAGGCAGCAAGCAGGGCTGTCACAGAACCATGGAATCATTTGGCTGGAAAAGCCCTTTAAGATCATCAAGCTCAACCGTTCCCCTAACCCTGCCATCCCACCACTAAACCCTGTCCCTAAGCACCTCATTTGCCCGGCTTTTAAATACCCTCAGGGGTGGGGACTTGACCCCTTCCCTGGGCAGCCCCTTCCAGTGCTTGATAACCCTTTCCACCCCAGCACCCTGCTGCCCTTTGCCTGGGTCTGGAGCTGATCCTGTTCTCAGAGGAGTCTTAATTTGGGATAAATGCCAGTGCTGCCAGTGGTAACACCATGCCCTGTATTACCCTTGCCACCAGAGTACCCAAGAACAGGGCTCCCATCCAGATGCTTTTTAGGCACGAAGCCTGCTCACTGGGTTCACTGCGAGCATCCTTTGGGGCAGGACCCACACCACTGGGGCTGATGTGTGCACAGCATCAGGCCAGCCACGCTCGAGTGCTGCCCTTGCGACCGATGCACAGCACCACGGTCGTGCCTTGCCCAGACCTTACCACTGGGTTTATGTCATTCAGTGTCCGCCCAGACCAAGGGGCACTGCAAATGCATGTTTTTGGGGCAGCGCAGTTAATACAACACGGCCTGTCTTTGCCATACGTTTCAATCCACCTGAGATTTACTCGGGAGCAGAGCAACTTGCTTTAGCCATTAATTAATAGTTGTGAAATCAGGGATGAATGTGGTCTGAATTTCAAGAGCTAACCATGTTTGTCCAGCATCTCCACATGCATTTGCTAGGCCAATGCTTTTGCAAGCAGCAGAACAGTTTGAAAGAAGAAGCTGTGAACAACCACGGGATTTAAATGCAACAAGTTCTTTTGAGGAAGGAAAAACTATTTTTCTGGGGATTTCATAAATTCCAGTAAGACTGTGGTCCATTACTGGACTCCTTTGGCTGGAGTGATGTATTACCCAAACTCTCTTACCAGTTCATCTTCACACTCATCCCGTGCGAGACCCTCTTCCTCACCCTCGTCCCCGTTCAGCGGCTCCTCTGTGTTGACCTCCGCCTCCGATGCTGTGTCTTCCTGCGAGATTTCACTTTTGCTGCCGTCCACCTTCTTCCGTACCTCTGCAAGAGCGAGAGCCAAGCCACCAGGGTCAGGGGCTGGGGGAGGCAATGGCTGGAGCCTGGTGACGCTAGAGCAGTGGGCTCCCAAATTCAGTTGGTAGGTAAAGAATGGATCTAGGTTTTCTTTTCTGCAATGGGAAGTTTTGCTGATTTTGAGGAAGCTGCCTGAAAGCAGCCCTGGAGAGGACAGAGCAGGGCATCGTTCTGCATCCCTCCAGCGTGCGTGTGGGAGGCAGAGAGAATCATAGAATCATTTGGGTTGGAAAAGCCCTCTAAGCTCACCCAGCCCAACTGTTCCCCTAACCCTGCCATCCCACCACTAAACCCTGGCCCTAAGCACCTCGTCTGCCTGGCTTTTAAATACCCCCAGGGATGGGCACTCGACCCCTTCCCTGGGCAGCCCATTCCAATGCTTAGCAACCCTTTCACTGAAAAAATTTTTCCCCATGTCCAACCTAAACCTCCCCTGAGAATAGAATAGAATGGAATAGAATAATAGAACAAAAAAGCAAACTAAAAAAATACAAACTGTATGAGAAAAGGAAAATAAAAATCTCATTATTTTAAAACCCAATTCTGTAATTTGGGGAGCTCTGGGATGTAATTTTAACTTGTGAGTCTGCTGTGGAACCTGGGAGTCGACACTTCCCCGTCAGAGCCCAGAGGATGCTCTAAGCCGCGATGGTTTGAAGCCCAGCTCTGCCGGGCAATTCCCTGCACTTTGTGCCTGATCTCAGAGCCTGCACCCGACTGACCTGCCGACATCTTCTGCTCTTCAGCAATCTGCTCCAGCCGGCCCAGGAGAGCATCAATGTTGGATTTGATCTGTGTCAGCTCTGTTTTGATTGTTTGCAGTTCACTGCACTTCACTTGGGAGGAAGGAAGGAAGGAAGGAAAAACAGGCATTTAGTGGCCCACAGAGCAGCCGAGGTACCCACCTCACCCTCTTGCCAGGCCCAAGTCGCCTCCCTGAGCAGGTTAAAAAACTCAACTGGAAACCCCATGCTAGAAACACACTCCTCGCATCCCTGGGGTCAGCGTGCAGTGGTGCTCACACCTCGCTGCACGGTGTATCTGAGCTTGTCTGTGCTGGGAGGAGCCACGGCGAGTGGCGTGCAGGGAATCCAGCAGGGCTGGCAGGGGCTTGGTGGGCAGGCGAGGAGCCGGGGGCTTCGCATGGAGCAGCAACGTGCCCTCCTCCACTGCCGGCCCTCGCCACCCTCCCGCCTGCTCTGGCACTGGCAGGGGAAGCTGGGGAGGCTGCAGCTGGTCGTATACGCCCAAAAAGCCCTTGTGTCTGCTGTCCAGGCACACTGTGGAGGCTGGCACCAGGCTCTGGCGTGCTCAGGTTGTATGCGCACCATCCCCTGCTGCATTCACAGTCTGCGGCCCACTTGGGCCGTTGTTTCCAGATGTTTCGATTTGTGTAAGGTTTTCCCGGGGAGCATCTGGCCCTGTGGGTGAATGCTCAGGGACAGGGGGTCCATGGGCACACCAGGCTCCACGCCATCCTGCGTGCATACTCACGCTTCAGCTTGGCCGAGCTGTTGGCGATGGCAGCCGATCTGGCGAAGAGCTTGACGGGGAGCGTCGCCTTCACGCGCCGGACGAGGGGGATGGTGACCCGTGGCCGCTTCACAGGAACCACCCTGGGCACCGGAGAGACTCGGCCCCGGTACTCAAAGAGCCTGGAGCAAGGAGGGAGAGGATGGGGGGGCTGAGGCAGCCCTGCAGCACCCCCACCCAGCCCTGCCGCGATGGCCATCGGGTGCCACAACCAGAACCCAAGCAGTGCTGCCAGTGAGCTGGGGCATGGCCTGGCTACTGGACCCCACTGTGCTGGGCTGGGCTGGACCACCCTGCATCCCACCTTGCCCCCAGCAGGAGCCACGTGGCAGGGAAGCCCTTGCCCCACGGAAAGCCCCTTAGGCTGATGCCTCCCCCGCTCACCTATCGTAGAAGTCGTCCCTGTAATAGTCGTAGTCAAAGTCGTAGCCGCTGCAGAGACAAAGACAGGATGGCACTGGTTAATTAGTGCTCACAATTTATTATTGTTGTTCCCTCATCCTCTGCTGAGCCTCCCAGGTCCTTTATCTGTTCCCCTTCCATAGGGGAGCCCCTGCCCCTCCACCTGGCAGGACGTGCGCGCTTGTCCTCCCGGCTGCGAGGGTCTGCAGGGACGTGGGCTGAGCTTGGGAGAAAGATTTGGGGGGCTGAACGCACTGGAGAGGGTGATGTTGGCAGCAGAGCGTGACCCTGCTTATCTCAAGGTAGAGCACCAAGATGCGAAGGTAGATTAAAACCTCCAAATGGAGGTGGGGACAAATATCTGCCAACACCCTGTGGGGCTGGTCCACATCTGCAGCGATGGCTGAGGTGCTGGGACCGGCCCCACATCCCGGGGCAGCCGCACGGGGAAGTTCACAGTATGGCGAATGGGTTGTGTCTGTAACGTGTGGGCTGGAGTGTGCTCATGGCACTGCTGATACCCCTCCATCCTGCCTTTTGCACAGTGGAGCTGTGCCTGTGTCTGGGGGGCCCTGCCCTGCCGCCACCCTCGTACTTTTTTTTTTTCATACCATATATAATTGTTGGGGGAGAAGTCAGGAAGAAGGGGACATTTATTAATTAAACATCTTTGCTATCAAAGATGTTTAAACCTCTCTCCTCCCAGTGAGATATTGCCCGCATCCCGTTTTCTTAAGCTTGAATTGCATTTTAACCCAAAGCTGGGGCAATGCCTTTCTCACTCCCCAGAGACCCAGCAACGTGCTTTCTCTCTTGCTGCACCTGGTTCTTCAGGAGGCAAGGCAACACCGGTGGTTACAGCTGGCAATCACAGCTCTTCAGAGACGGGACCCGCACCGGCACTGCCTGCTGCCCGCTCTCCGCAGCAGGGAGGAGCGACGCCGCTGAACATTCGCAGCAGCGGCCCCCGGCCCCGCGCTGCCCCTGCCGCCCTTGCCTGATGCTGGCTGAACTGATGCTGGTGAAATATGAAGTTAGGCTGACGTTCCCCCTTCGCTGCGCTGAACGAAGAGAATGGGTATTCCAGCCCTTGAAAGCAAAGAGCTGGTCCTGCACTGCGCAACTGTTTGAAGTGGCTTACCGAAACCCAGAAAATCTAATGGGAAGAGGGAGCGATGGGGAGAGGGAAGGACTCAGCCAGGAGAACCCAGGATGTGGGGAGAGGGAAAGACAAGCGTATGTAGCTGAGAGTAGACAATTTGGTGTTCTGCATCTTAGGCAAGAAGTGACAAGAAGAATGTGTGGCTGGCCAGGAAGGCCCGTGGGAAGCGTGGTTTGGACCAGGAATTCCATGCTTGACCCAGGATTACTCTCCCACCTATGCTGGCACTGGGCTTCCCACCCAGTGTTTCAGTTTCAGTAACTGGCCAGTTTCTTAAATGGGTTTCTTTCATGGTGGTGTCCCTCAGGGGTCTGTACTGGGACCAGTGCTGTTTAGTATCTTCATCAATGGCATAGATAGTGAGATTGAGCACACCCTCAGCAAGTTTGCAGATGACACCAAGCTGGGTGGTGCAGTTGACACACCTGAAGGATGGGATGGCATTGAGAGTGACCTGGACAAGTTGGAGAGGTGAGGACTTGGGGATGAAGGCATTGAGAGCAGCCCTGCCCAGAGGGACCTGGGGGCACTGGTGGGGGAAAAGCTGGACGTGGCCTCAGAAGTCCTAAGCCTTTTTCAAGGCCAGCCAAACCATCAGTGGTGTATGAGGTGGCTGATACAGACCATAAATGTTATTCTGCGATTTGCAGTAGGGAATGTGTGAGCAAAGCTGGGCAGCCTTGCATTTTTCTGGTGGAAATCCGGAAATCTGACCTGGTTTTGCAGCTTGTCTACAGAGGCAGGGGATGTGGCTTGCAACATGCCTTGTCTGCAGGGTGGTGGGTCCAAAAGCATCTGTGGGTGAAAAGCAAGGGGGAGTGCGGGGATACCCTGGCCCTGGCCCCGAATCCTCGGGGGACTGGAGACACTTCCACCCACTTCAAAAGGAATTAGGTGCGTAATCATCCTGGGGAGCTGGTCCTGACTTCCCAAGACCAGTGTGATTAATCTCACCTGGCTTCGACACTGGGAATGTAAAGAGATAAATCCAAGCTGGGGGGAAAGATGCAGTTCCAGGTCATGGTCCATCACATCCAAAGGCAGACATCTAAAATATGGTCAGGTAAAGAACTGGGTTTTTTTTATCCAGTAAGCATAAAGGGAGACCAGAGAACCAGCCCACATAAAAGCCACAACAGCATCGAGGGCTGAACTCACGTGAGACAAATCCACCCATAGACTCAGTGTGGTGTGGGACGGCAAATGAAAAAAATCTCAGCCCCTAGCAGTAGGGCTTGCAACACCTGCTAACCACGCGACGACCCGCAAGGAAGGCAGCAGGCTGGAAGAAAGGGCTTTCGGAACACTGTGCCTGCTGCAATGTGCTGGTCAGGTCATGCTTTACAGGGAGGCAGTGGCTGGGTGCCTTTACCAGCACCCTCGGAAGCCAGGCGTTGTGCAAAAGGCAGCTCTTCCAACATGAATGCAGAAAGAAAAGCCAGTAAAAAGCGAGCGCCTCAGCGTGGGTCATTTATCTGGACACTGTGTGCCTGAAAATTTCCCTGCATGTAGGAAAAACCTTCCCGAGACTGATGGATCATTCCTCAGTGACCTGTCAGGGCTTCCTTTGTGTACAGGAATAATTTTTTTGCTGTTTTTCAATCAGTTGGTGACACTGTGCTCTTTGCAAGGGAAGCAGGGACAGTCAGAATGAGAGGCAGCAGAAGGCTGTAAGGCTGCGCCAGGTAACACAGTGCTTGCTGCGTTTCTTCTGCTTTGTTTTTCTTTAGTAATTAAATAACATTTATTAACGGCGCACAGAGATTCAAAATCCAAGTATTCACAACCGAAGGGCAACTGGTTGTATGCGCTGCCTTTCCACTGCATTTGTGGTGCCATTTCCAAGCATGTACCTGAACAGCAAATGTATGTTTGAGCAGCTGTGCTTCTAATTATGGGCTGACGGCCCCGTGCTGGTAATCACAAGTGACACGCCGTGCTCAGCTCGCATCCTTCTACTAATGGTTGCACAACCTTAATTATCACTGCAGTAGAAATAATAGCTGCTGGAAAGCTGCTCGGAAAATCTGGCATTGATCAAGTAGTGAGCTTTTAAGATCTTGTGCATCTGGTGCAAGATTCCTTCCTCCTGCAAATAGCCAAGGTAGTGGGAAGTCGGGAGAGAAACATGGGAAGGGAGCCTGGCACTTCCAAGGTGCTGGGGCTGCAGAGGGGCTGCTGTAGGCTGGGACAAGGCGCACATCTCTACTGCCAGCGCTGGGTCTGGGTACCACTGCTCGCCTCCTCCCCTGCCCTGTGGCTGTTCCGCAGCCCTGTCCATGTGGATTTGGCACCAGGGCTTGCTGGGCTGTCACTGCTCCCAGCACCGCTGCTGAGGTGTGGGAGGAGGAGTGGATCTGTTTGGAGATGGGTTGACACCAGTTTTCTGCAGGGATCGTAACGGGTGTAACAAGGGGTGCAAATGCCAGCTGAGCTGGAAGGACATCGTCCACTTGCATCTGTAGACGGTGAAAATAAGTCAGCGGTAGTTTGCGTCTATCACCATTTCAGAGACAGTTCCTTGGGCTGCTGAGCTGCCAGACACTCGGTTGCTCCAGCAGCTCTTGCTGAGGTTGTCCTCACTGTCCTTTTGACTACAGAGCGACATTAGCATCAGCAGTACAGGGAAGGGCAGAGATTTGTGCCTCCAAAGGTCAAGTGCAGCACTGGCAGACCCCACTGCCCTGGGGCAGAGCCACCTTCCCTTCCCAGCCCACGGCAACAAGCTTACAGCACAGCAGGACCACCAGCACCGACCCGACCGCGGCCCAAACTACCCTGGGAAATCCTGTCTGGACATTCGCTATGCAGGCAAAAAAAAGCATTGCCAGAAGGCAAAAGGTGTTGAGACTCAGGATGTGAATACCTGGGGGGCACGGTCAAAATGCAACCTCATTTTCCAGCCACCCTCATGAACTCATTCGCAGGATCTCCAGGCACGTCTGCGTTCAGCAGCGGCGGCTGCGGTGCAGGAGCAGGAGCACCCAGGGGACTTGCCACGTGCAAAGGGATGCTCTGGCAAATGCCAGCGGCAGAGGAAGGGAGGCCCTGAAGATCCAGAGAGATCGGGGTAGAGCAGCGATGACAGTAAGGTTTTACATGAACAGAAGGTCGCTCTTGTGGAGAGACCCGAAAGAATTTTCCATGGCATGAACCTGGGTGTATGTTTTACCTACTAGAGGTAGATGAGAGGCTATGTCCCCAAGGATTTCTATTAAACGCCCAGATACCCCCTTGGGCTAGCGGATCAAGGAAGACTGTCCAGATCATTGCTTCTTCTACATCCAAAATGAGGCTTCCTTTCCCTTCCCCTTGACCCTCTCACACAGACTTGGAGTGAGGCAAAGTAAAAACCCAATCTTTGAAAAAATAATCTGATATGTTTAACGCATTTCTATAAATTACAATGCTGTGATTTTTTGAAGTCTAACATTTAGAAAAATGGTTAGGGAAGCTCTAACCACAGCTCGCTGTGAGCCTGCCTTCCCTGCCTTCTGTGGGATATTGTAAGTTCTGCTAGTCCAGATGGCAAAGTTTAAATCTGTCACCAATCTGGGATGAAATACTGCTGAAGCTCAGAGCAGTGTAGTTCTCTGGCCCATATTTTAGCATATCTGTAGTTGTGGGAGGAAGCAAACATCTCTCATTCGCTCCCTCTCCATCTACATGACAGCCTTGATGTATGAAATATTGGTCATTTCAGCAGAAATGGATCAGCGGTCAAGGCATGGATGAAGGGTAAATGAAAGGCTCTTTACTGCAAGATGTATGGAATGAATCGCTTTGCATTCCAGCTACCAGCACCACCCAGGTAGTACATGTGCAGCTAAACCAGAAGAATTGTGTCATCTCTATTTCCATACATCGGCGCGGGCAATGCACAGAGCCCACTGCCCCTCGACTGGCACCCCCATCGAGGGGGCCAGGCTCTGGTGAGGGGCCAAGCTGGCCTGAGGTGGGAGGAAAAACTTGCCTGGTGAAAGCGGCAGAGGAAGAGCTCAGCTGAGAGGCTTGGGGGAGACCTCGACAGACACCCTGGGGGTGCTGGGGGGACTGCTGAAGCTCTGGGGGCTTTGCCTATGCCAGCAGAGCATTGCCAGCACCCAGGTTTGCCATTCCGTAGCACATCCGTGTTGGACTGCGTGGCTGAGTCTTGAATCACAGTTTTTTTCATTTCTCTTCATCCCTCTCACTTTGTTTTCTTTTTGTAGAAAAATCTACAGTTCTCTCATGATTTCCTTTCTCATTACACCCACTTATAACCCTGATACTGATTTTAGTCTTCCCAACATCACACCTTCTAAATCCTGACTCAGAACCCCAGTCTCCATACCCTGAGACTGTCATAAAAACAATGAAAATTTATAAATAAAACACATTCTGGGACCTTGTTATTTGGTCTGGGGCTCCTGAAACCTGCAGGATACTCTCCTTTTCAAGTTTGCCCTTCTGCAACCTCAGGAGCAAGAACTTAATGAGTTTGTCCCACACTCCCATGACTCTGGACTCTGTGAATGAAAGTTTTCACTTCTTGTGAAAATCTGGATAAAGTCTCTAGAGCTGGCACCAGTGAAGGCTCGCTCTGACATCTGTAACGCCTTATGTCTCCCACAGACCCACTCCATGTCCCACTCGTCCCTCCTGTTCTCTTGACCTTTTGGTCACTGCTCTGCAGCACAGGCTCCCTTGGGGATTCCCCCGGCCGCCTCCTTGGTCCACCTCCATCTGTGGGATGCCCAACGGCTTCCCACTTTCTCCCTTTCCCCATCATTCTTTGCTTGCCCTTTTCTCCAGTGTCT